CAGCAGAGCAGAACATAGATCAAGTTTTGCATGTTTTGAGGCTATATAATAAGCCCTGTTATATTCTCTCTAGATTTAAGTCATCTTATATTCACTGTTATATGTCCTCGCTTTGTTGACCTATAAATTAGCATCTTATATTATCTCTGGTGCAGGAGAAACCCATCTTGCTAACAAGATTATGGCAACGCAAAAGATTGGAAAAGAGAAGTTTGTGGTTCTGAAAGTGTCGATTTGTGTATATCATAGCTTTTGTGGTTGAATGTATATTACTTGTAATTGCAATTGTAAAGTCATAGTTGGATTGGAGTGTTTTGATTGAAATTTGGCTTTGCAGTTGTAAAAGGATCTGTAAAAGACGTACCCGTTTTTTCTTCCGTTGGCTTGTGCCTGTCATCGCTTTACAGTGATTTCGTTTGCTCGTCTTCAAAGGCTCGTAATTTGGTCTCATGTTGTATTTTCGTATTTTGATGCCCACAATCTGAAGAAAACGAAAATAATGATTGCGCCTGGAATAATGAATGCGATTATCTCGGCCTAGCTCGGTACAGAAAAATAGGGGATCGATACGGGAAAATAGAAAATAGATTAAAAAATCTACCGAGATCAGTAGTATTACAAAAAATAGAAACCTTGTCTCCAAGTACGTGATCACAGGGGATTAGAACGGAATAATATGGGATATATTATCTTCAAGTACGTCTTTTTAAAAATTGACCCGTCCTATATAATCTAGGAACGATCGACCAAAAACCATGGTTTTTAAAAATCGACACGGTCCAGACTGTCGTGGACTTAATTTTTTATTTGTCCAAAATAATCCGTTCCGCCATATTCTATGAGCGATCGACCAGAAAACCACGGTTTTTTAAAATCGACCCGATTCGGCCGGTCATGCATGGACTTAATTTTTTATTTATCCAAAATAAACCGTTCCGCTATATTCTATGAGTGATCGACCGGAAGACAACTGTTTTTTAAAATCGACTTGGTCCGGACGGTCGTGGACTTAATTTTTTATTTGTCCAAAATAAACCATTCCGCTATATTCTAGGAGCGATCGACCGGAAAACCATGGTTTTTAAAATCGACCCGATCCGGACTATCCTGGATTCCATATATGGATTTTTTTTTCCTGAAATTAACATAAAAAAGAGAAAAATGCATCGCTCCTAGTCGGGTTGCGGCTGATAGGACATGTTTCTGATTCACTAAAAAGAACATATGTTTTCTTTAAGATCATATATTATTTTTTCTCTGCGCTGTAATATTCATGCATTGTCAATCACTTATCTAGGCTCCCAGGTTCCTGTGAACCCCCTATATCAACTAGGCTCCACCACTGTTAAGTACAATTGCCTTTCTTCAAACCAAGAGAAGTTCAGAAAGCAGTTTATACTTTCCAATGCATGTATCGCCTATTGATTTCAGTGACTGATAATTGGCACAAGCAGACAACTCACCATGTGGTTTATATGATGATCAAGTCACATAGGGCAACAAAGTCGTTTTTACACACAATATTTTGTGTGCTGCCTATTAATTTCAGTTTGCATCTTGCTTCAACTAGCTTGATGATTTATCATGTGCCAATAAAAACATGCCAGCCATGTTTAATATGCTGAAGTAGAAAAAAATCTGCAAGGCTTGAAAACCTAGTGTTGGATAGAAATTCATTTCCCCAGACGGTACATAACATATATACTTTGTCATTACTAGTTTATGCTGGAAGGGTAGAAATAACTGCGAATGATGGGAGCCATCATATTGTAAGTGTCTCATTATTTGTTCTCTATTTCTGTTGCTGCAAATCTGTGTACTCTATAGCTTAACTTGGGCAATTATATTTGTTGGTATAGACCCAAGGAATCAACCTGAGGAGGAAGATATAGCCTGTGGAAATGTAAAATACAGCCATTTTGTATTCAGGTTGGATTTATAAGACTGGTAGGTATGTAGTCATTCATACCATTTCTGACCTTCATCTATCAAATTTTTGTTTTTATAGTTTTTTAATATTGTTAATGTTCTCCTGTTCGATTTGTATCAAGAGCAACTGGTTCTCCATATTACAATGCAATATGTTTTAATCTTGTTTCACATTTGTGGGTAGATGATGAAAGACGTGGTCGTGGACGGTGAAGAGCTTATGCATAGTCCTCAGCTGACCACACATGGCACCAATGCGAGCAATATGCCACCAATCCAAGTCAGAGGCGGCAGCCACCACCACGTGTGAGGAAATGGAGAAGAGGATGGACATAGATCCACGGGAAGCTCAGCTCAAGTTGATCCGCAGTCTCTTCCAAGACGTTTATAAGGGACAGTGGTCTTGGAAGAGACTGCGGTTCAACTTGAGCCAAGCCTCCCGCGGATCCGTGTCCATTCTCTTCTCCATTTCCTCACACGCAGTGGTGGCCGCCACCTCCACATCCAGCATGACTTGGATTGGTGGTGTATTGCTGGCATTGGTGCCATGTGTGGTCAGCTAAGGACTATCCATCAGCTCTTCGGCGTCCACGACCACGTCTTTCATCATCTACCCACAAATGTGACACAAGATTAAAACATATTGCATTGTAATATGGACAACCAGTTGCTCTTGATACAAATCAAACAGGAGAATATTAACAATATTAAAAAACTACAGCAACCAAAATCTGATAGATGAAGGTCAGAAATGTTATGAATGACTACAAACCTGCAAGTCCTTGAAATCCAACCTGAATACAAACTAGCTGTATTTTACATTTCCACATGCGGTGTCTTCCGCCGCAGGTGCATTACTTGGTCTATACCAACAAATATAATAACATCGAAGTTAAGCTATAGAGTACACAGATTTGCAGCAGCAGAAATAGAGAACAAGTAATGAGGCAGTTACATGCAATATGGCGGCCCCCATCGTTCACAGTTATTTCTACCCGTCCAGCATAAACAAGGAATGGCAAAGTATATATGTTCTGTACTGTTTGGGAAAATGAATTTCTATCCAACACTAGGTTTTCAAGCCTTACAGATTTTTTCATCTTTAGCACATTAAACATGGCTTAGATGTTTTCATCAGCACATGATAAATCATCAAGCTGCACTTCAAGAAGAAAAAAAAATCAAGGGCTTCAAGGGCTTAGTTGAAGCAAGATGCAAACTGAAATCAGTAGGCAGTACACAAAATATTGTGTGTAAAAATGACTTCGTTGCCCTCGCCAGTGTCGAATCTAGGACAAAAATTGAGGATAGGCTGGACTGATAGTCTAAGTCTAAATTGATAATGCTAAAATAAGGCACATACCATTATCAAGTCAAATGTAACACTTACATGATTAAATAAAAAAGCATACTTATAAAAGACGTACCTTGACTTTCGACTAACCAGTAAAATGCTAATTTTCTTAGACCTTAGCAAAGAATAATGTGAGCAGCCACCTGAATATATAAATGAGCAAAATTAGTAAGGGGACATATCCGGTGAAAATGAGCTAAGTGTTGAAAACTCGTGAAAATCATACCTAAAAGTTTTGTAAATTCATGAAAAAAATACTAGAGATAGGTGTAGATATGAAATACATTCTCACCAAATCTCAAGTTCAAACTCAACTTCGTTTAGGAGTAACAAAAAAGACAAATTTCAGGTGAATAGTAACAGGACACTATTCACCTGAAATTTGTCTTTTTTGTTTCTCATAAACGAACTTGAGTTTGGAGTTAAGATTTGGTGAGAATGTATTTTATATCTACACCTATCTCTAGTATTTTTTTCATAAATTTACGAAACTTTTAGGTATGATTTTCACGAGTTTTCAACACTTAGCTCATTTTCACCGGATATGTCCTCAATTAGTAATGCATAAATGGTAGAAGTAAACAAATGTTAACTAAAATAAGTAACATACCACAAAATGCAGCATCCTTTTCCACACTATGTTCCAAGCAATCAAATCGAACCAATTCTGTTGAAAGGATCTCCAAATCTTACCATCTAATGTCCTAGGAAAAACATGTCCAGGTGCTCTATTTGGACCATTCAACAAATATGCCCTTCTCACTTCATCTCTAACTAGTAATTTGCATGTGCTAACGCTACGGCTATATTTAACAATACAGATCAAATATATGATTCAGACAATCAAAAGAATGGAATCATATATTGCTAATTATATAACCATGTACAACTACATGTTTCCCACAGTATATATTGCTTCAAGCTAACATTTTGCATACTCTATATATACGCAAGGCAAACCATTTGCAAGTACAGAAGAATAAATAATCAAGCTTCATTGAAATTGTATTTCAAACCGGAATAGAAACAAAAGTAAACACTTCAGCATCGCTCATCTTGCTGGTGTTGATGCTTCCAACAGCTGCATCACATCACTGAACTCTGAACAAAGCTGAATCTAAAGCAGCAAAGATGGCAATTACCCAAGGCCACCTTTTGTCTAGGTTCTTCCTGAGATCATCCAGCATGCTCGTCCTGTTGATGCTTCCGACATCTACAACACATTAAGACAATGTCAGGTGCAAACTAATGTGCAAAGTTACAGATGGATCTGTCATCTTCAGCTAGCTTTGTCAGATGGTCAGATGCAGTGTTTTTCAGAATTCAAACACAGAGGTAAGAACCTACCTCTTGACTTCAGCTCAATAGCTTTTTATCAGAACAATTAATCACAGGCATTTTGCAATGCCATCTACCTTAAAACCTTGGTTTAGCAAACATTTAAAGACTATAAATTAGTTGAAATTTGATTTTAATTTTAATTCAGTTGTACATATCAAAGACAAATTAGGAGATAGATAGTATTAGATATAGGGATAATACCTACTAAAACTGTCTCAACTCATTGAAGCAATGGAGATATTTTCACCCTACAGCTATCAATATCAAATATCTATGGTGCAACAAGCAATGCCAACATCGAATTGTTGCCCTCAGAAACGATTATATGCTACTGAAGCAGAACATGGAAGCAGCTCATTTACCTAGCGACCCTAGAAATAAGGGGATCAGGTGACCTGGTCGGAGAGCTTGCGGCCGTGGACGAAGAGGAAGAACATGGCGACAAATCATACATGGTGCCCCATCATCAGTCATTTATAATAAAAAGATTATACAAGGCCTGTTGCTTTTGACAGATTGCATTATCACCAGGAAACAAAATCAGTCCACTGACAAAAAAATTGGAGGCATAAAAGCAGAACAAAATGAAGCCCAGAGGCATTATAGCATCTTGCATCTGGAAAAATGAGTAGGCTAACAATATAGGGTAGATTACAATCTTGTTGGTTCCTGTTGTTAATCATCTGGCCTATTATACAACAAAAGGCCTTCAATCCTCACCAATCTAGTTGGCTGAGACGCAGTAGTACTCGTGGCCACCCCAACGGAGATACCCTCTATGAATCAAGGTTATTCATCTGAACAGGGCAAAAATATATTAACAATCTCATTTGTAAAAGGGAGTAATCTGGATTGCATGTAGCTAATCCAATTTTCATCGGTATGAAATTAAAATTGAATAAATACCCCAGATACATTAGACAAGATAGTGAGTACTGATAAATCACTCTATCCATTTAAAAAATATTGATTAAATAATAAGTGTATAACTTTATCACCGGTTGTGATACAATGAGAAATACTTGACATGCATTAATATCAGACACTCCCTCCATCATAAAAAGAAACATAGGAGGGGATGTGACCTCTCTATGGACAATGTATCCGAAATTAGTTTTTTTATTCGTATCCGAAATTAGTTTTTTTCATTCGTATCCAGAAACCCCTTCCAATATCCCGTCAAACATCCGATGTGACACCCAAAAAATTTCTTTTCACGAACTAAACACACCCTAAACAAGAAAAAATGCAACGCTGTCATCCTTGTGTCATTAGCAGAAAAATGTTAATAGCACCAATCAACAGTGGTCACCGAGGAAAATGGTTAAGCAATCAAAGTGATGAAAAAACTTGATAGTGAAGCCATTACTTCCCTTTTGTGTAGTTTTAGTGCTATTGAGCATGTTAGACAGGTACCATGACATGGTTCAGTTAGATGCTCATAAGAATTTACTGTTTGATACGCATTTTAATCAAAACACTGAAGGGCTCAAAAAAATTGAATCGGTGAGTTTAACACCATATCGTGCTATCAGCATTTTCAGATAAGGTGCTGTATTATTCACCAATTGTTCCACCAAACATAAAAAACATATGGAAAACACAACAGAAAAAAGCCTCATATCAAACATAAAACTGAGACGATACACTGAAAAAGTGAGTAGCTAGCACCCTGAAACCTGGCCTGCGTGGAGTTGATGCGAGCAGGCGCCGAGAAATCGGGGGAGCGACGACTTGACAGCGTGGCGACAGTACGGTCATTGTCATTTTGTAGTTAAATCCAAACGAAACTGAAATGGAGGGCAACACTACAAGAGAAGTTATTGACTCCCCCCAAATAACACTTCTAATTAATCCATTTAAACATGAGCGTATGAATATGATGCATGCATGTGATACTAATAATCTAGCTAAATGGTGGTGATTCACGATTTGATCAGTTAATTAAATTGTTCATATCAAAGAACAAAAAGAGTACCTTGCAACTGATTGTTAGCGACGGCGCCAGTGCCCAGTAGATATAGCACTTGCAGCAAAATCAGTCAGGCTAGCGGTGATAGCCACGCTCGCAACGGTGACGGCGGCGTCCGGCGGCGACGGCGAGGACGGAATAGGAGGCAGAACGCCAGCAGCGGAGGAGGCAACGTCCACGTGCACGGCCAGCGTGATGATGCCAAAGCCATGCTGTAGCAGACCGAGCTTCGTGGCATCGACGTCGTGCGCCTCCTCCGGCCTAGACATGGCGCTGCTCTTGCCGTGGCCGAGCTGATCGGCGGAGCGGCGAGAGCAGGTCCATGGCCGCCGTCACGGACATCGCCTGCGTCAACGTAGCCCTCGCGGGCTTGCTGGACCCGGACGAGCGGTCGGAGGACGATGACGACAACGAGGTGGGCGCCGCCACCGGCGAGACAAGCTGCTGCTGCGGCTGCACCGGCTGGGGCGGGAGGATCGGTGGCGGCGTGAACGACGGTGCCACGGCCTCCCGGTGCGCCGTCGCCGCCGCCGGCGGCTCTGAGGCCCGGTTGCCGCCGAGCCCGAGCCCCGCGCGGCCTGTCCCGCCGGAGCGCAGCTTGTTCTTGGAGCGGGACTTGCGGTTCTGGAACCAGTAGAAGACGTTGGCGTCGCCGACCTGGCCGTACTCCTGCAGCTGCATGCGGATGCGCGGGATCTCGTCGCGCGGCGGGTTGACCATGCCGGAGTTGAAGATGGCCTCCAGGATCCGGATCTGCTCCGGCCGCGGGTTCCGCCGCGGCTTCGGGTCCGGAACCCTCTCCTCGCCCACTGCAACAACCACAAAAATCCCAAATCAATTCCCTCCTACCGATCGATCTCGATCCCCTCTAACCTCGCAAAACGAAACCCTACCTACCAAGCGCAAACAGTAGCATGCACGGATGATGCGGGACCTACCTGACGAGAAGGGCGAGGACTTGAGGGAGAAGCCGCCGCCGCCGGTCCGGTGGCCGTGACTTCGAGGCAGCATTGGGTAGGGAGGATCGCGGGTGATGGTGAGGGTCTGAGGGATACTTAAGGGCGAGGTGGAGGGGATCCGGTGGGTGGCGGCGTTTAGGGCTGGGAGACGCATTCTTTTTGGCAGAATATATAGCGAGTGCATGATTTTTTTTTCTTTTCTGAAATCGCCGCGAGTGCGTGATTTTAGGAGAGATCCGCGGCATGCGTGCAGCGGTGCAGGTGGGTGGGAGAGGCATGCACGCGCAGGTGGGAGGAATCAGTTGGCGGAGATATGCGTGGGGAGGTGGGATAAATCTGAGACGTTGGATCTTAGCGAGATAATCTGGACCGTTCCATGAGAAATAAAATAATGAGTAATAAGTAAAACCATTTGTTAAACTGTAGGGTAGATAATTTTACAATAATCATATATTGGTATTCGTTTTTGCTGGATCGGCAAAAATTTTATTAGGATCAAATTCCACTAGGTGCCTCTTTGGTCTGTTTGTGCTCTCATCAGTTATAGGTGTATCACTTAAATGGCTTGTATAGTAATTAAGCAATGTCGTTTTCTTCTCCATTACAAATCTACCAACAAATCAAAATACTAGGAAATGTAAATGGTAACAAGTAACAAATAACAATGAAGAAGTAAAAAAACAGTATAGCTCACTGCCTCACTCACACTGTCACTTAAGACTCACTTAGAGACTCCGGCAGCCAGGGCCCTGTGGCCGACCCCTCCACGCCTGCCACCCCCGTGGACAATGATGGCAGGGCACTGCTCCTTGAGCCACCGCCGCCGCCGCCGAACACGATCACCGCCAAAAGTGTCATCGTCGCGTAGCGGGCCGGACACGTAGGCGCGCGAGGGAGGCGGTGGCACGCCTAAGGCCATCATCGTGGTCGCCTCTGCCGCCGCCGTCGCGGTCCTCGTGCTGCTTGCTCTGCCACGACAGCTCCAGTGGGCTGACCGCGCCGCTGCTGAGCTACTCCACCTAGTCGTTGTTGTTGGACTGCAACGCCGTCCATGTCTGGTCGGTCGAATCGACGGAATTGGGCTCCCACGAGGGCGTCCACGCGTTTGCCGGCAAAGCTGTTGCTCCCACCGGATTCCTGCGGCTCCGCCTCGCCATGGATGTCACGCACGAAGACGTACTTGTGCAGGCTCGACTCCATCAGCTCATCCTTCACAACAACCTGTCAACCTCCTACACAACGATGTGTGTGCCACCGCCGGCGACCTTGCCGTCGCCGTACCTCCCGTTTGACAAGCACTTGCCATTGGCCGACCGGTCCAACTTGAAGCTCTTGTTTTCCGACGACAAGGAGTTGAGGTCCGCGACCATTGTTGTCGTCGAGCTCCGCCATGGGGTTGCAACGGTATGGCTAGTGCTCGGCCTTCCGCGACGAGCTCCGGCTCAGAGATGGCCTCGTGCGCCGGCTGCAGCCCCTTCTCCCTGGCTGCAGCCACTTCCTGGACGCAGTTGGCATGCGCCGCTTCTCCCTGGTCAGGACCGACACCGTCTTCCCAGCTGCTGCTGCGGCCGCCCCCGCGCACCGCTGTGCACACCTGCGCACGCGAGAGAGAGATATATTAGGAAGAGGTGAAGAGAGAGAAAGACCGGTGGGTCCCACCCTTTTTTTTAAAAAAAAAAATGCTGACTAGATTGCCACGCGTACACCACGTAAGACGAAACTGCTCGGGATTGAGTCGAGGGGGGTAATTCGTCCGGTATTGAAAGTTCAGGGTGAGTTTCGTTAAAAAAAAAAAGTTCAGAGTAAGCAATGTTTGGTTTTTGGGTTAAAGGGGGTAATTCGGTCGACCACGATAGTTCGGGCCGAGGTGGGGGGAGGGGGTAATTCGTACTTTTTCCTATTCTTTTATACATTGGTACAATAGCAAGTCAGATTATTAACACTTCGGTTGTGTGGAATTATATAATCATATACTCCATCCATTCTATAATATAAAGGAGATTTTGGGTGGATGTGACGTCTGTCCAGATTCATTGTGCTAGGATGTGTCACATCCACCCAAAATCCCTTATATATATTATGGGACGGATAGAGTATATATATATGTAATAATACCTATGATATGCTTCATATGACATGGTTTTTTGTAAGTTAAACCACAATACCCAAATTCATATGAAATTATATTGAATTTGAATAATACCGGTACTTCTATTCGTGGAGAATATATATATAAATTAAACATTCTGAAATTTATATGGGAAACAGTTGTACGGCTCACTGTCACTGGTGCGGGTGCCTGAGAAAGACCGCAGGCATCGGCATGGGAGATCACTATTGGCATAGATCATCAATGGTTGGAAAATCAACCATTAGGATACAAATAGTCATTATATAAGTACAATTGATCATGATTGACAATGATTTTAATCGTATATAGTCCGTGGTGCTTGGAAGTTGTCGACGTTTGATGTCGCAATTCTGATATTTGCATAGTATGGGGATCGTCGGTGCTAGGATATACGTGATACTGAGGTAAAACAGATGGAGACAGGGATTTTTATACAGGTTTGGGCCCTTGAATTGTCAGGTAATAACCCTACATCTTGTTGGCCGAAGCCGGTATTGCTCTTATTCATGATAATCACACCAGTACAATATTTTGGGTAGCCTATCTAACTGTTGTCGACATGGCAGTCGTACGATCTGACTCGTAGTCGACAACAGGATAGCCTTTCTCCTTAAATCCGTGCCCGGCGAGATCAAAGATAGCACTTTCATCTCTCCTGACAGTATCCGGAGACACCGTAGGGTACTAGCCGTGCTTATCCCTAAAGTCAATATTCGGCGACGTGTCTTGGTGTATGTAGGCTTTTATGTTGTGGCTTCTATATCGATTGTGTTGGATGTTGATCCCCCATGGTGGGTGTGTGGATTCTCTTGTGTATGTTGATTCTGTCCCCTCTCCTCCTATGGGGCCTTATATTTATACTCATAGATGTCTCCTTGTCCAAGTAGAAATAGGGAAACCAATATGGATACAATCCGAGTAGTACTTGTTGTTTCCATGTAGAATTTTGGTTGTCTTTTCTTATCTGGAACTCCTCCTATATTCACAGGTTGTTTCCGTATAAGACATGATATGTGATGGGTCCTGCCGAGATTTAGTCAACTACTATTAGGTATGTGGTATCCATAATCCTGACAGAAGTTGATTGGACCGAATAGACGGCTGCTCATCAAAGAAATTCTTTTCATCACTTTGCCAAGTTTAAATGCAACTAGGGCCATCTACGAGTTGTTGAAATGGTGGTGCTTATAAGATGAACAACCATCATCATCATATATACTTAACCAACACAACGAAAAAAAAACAGAAAAGAAAGAAATATGGCAGCCACCGCTGCAGTTATGCTAGCCCTCGTCCTCCTCTCGCCGACCACTCTCGCCACCGACGTTCATGGCTTCCGCGCCACTCTCACTCGCATCCACCAGCTCTCCCCCGGCAAATACTCCGCGGCTGTACGCCGCGACAGCCACCGCCTCGCGTTCCTCTCCAACAACGCCGCCGCGGCAGCCGGCAGCAAGGCCACCACCACCACCACCACCAACTCGTCGGTGAGCTTCCAGACACTGCTCGACAACAGCGCGGGAGCGTACAACATGAACCTGTCCATCGGCACGCCGCCCGTCACCTTCTCCGTCCTGGCCGACACCGGCAGCAGCCTCATCTGGACGCAGTGCGCGCCGTGCACCGAGTGCGCCGCGCGGCCGGCGCCGCCGTTCCAGCCGGCGAGCTCCTCCACCTTCTCCAAGCTCCCGTGCGCCAGCTCGCTCTGCCAGTTCCTCACGAGCCCCTACCTCACGTGCAACGCCACCGGCTGCGTCTACTACTACCCCTACGGCATGGGCTTCACCGCCGGCTACCTCGCCACCGAGACGCTCCACGTCGGCGGAGCCTCGTTCCCCGGCGTCGCGTTCGGGTGCAGCACGGAGAACGGCGTCGGCAACTCGTCGTCGGGCATCGTGGGGCTCGGCCGCAGCCCGCTGTCCCTCGTCTCGCAGGTCGGCGTCGGCCGGTTCTCGTACTGCCTCCGCTCCGACGCCGACGCCGGCGACAGCCCGATACTGTTCGGCTCCCTCGCCAAGGTCACCGGCGGGAACGTCCAGTCCACGCCACTCCTCGAGAACCCCGAGATGCCAAGCTCCTCGTACTACTACGTCAACCTCACCGGCATCACCGTCGGCGCGACGGACCTCCCGGTGACGAGCACCACGTTCGGCTTCACGCGCGGCGCCGGCGCCGGCCTCGTCGGCGGCACGATCGTGGACTCCGGCACGACGCTCACGTACCTCGTCAAGGAGGGCTACGCGATGGTGAAGCGGGCGTTCCTGTCGCAGATGGCGACGGCCAACCTGACGACGACGGTGAACGGCACGCGCTTCGGCTTCGACCTGTGCTTCGACGCCACCGCCGCCGGCGGCGGCAGCGGCGTGCCCGTGCCGACGCTGGTGCTGCGGTTCGCGGGTGGAGCTGAGTACGCCGTGCGGCGGCGGAGCTACGTCGGCGTGGTGGCGGTGGACTCGCAGGGCCGCGCGGCGGTGGAGTGCTTGCTCGTGCTCCCGGCGAGCGAGAAACTGTCGATCTCCATCATTGGCAACGTCATGCAGATGGACTTGCACGTGCTCTACGACCTCGACGGCGGGATGTTCTCTTTCGCGCCGGCGGATTGCGCCAATGTGTGATGGAGTAATTACTACCGTTCGTTAAGTACAGTATAAACCCAATAACTACGGAGTAGAAGTACTATATTGTACGCATGTGGGGATCATATACAGTTTTTGTCTAGCTTGCTGTTCATCATAGGACAAATAAGGCTTAATTTCTCTTGTGCCGTCATTCTCTGTTTGAGATTGTGTCCTAACTGACAACGTTCTATTTTGCCGTGTCTGGTACGTATTCTGGTGTCACCTGATTGACTATGCTCTGATGATTTTCAGCACTAATTAAACAAGTTTGAATATAATGGAAGGAGTAGGTTTTGGTTTTTGACTCTTTCGTTTGGCCTACGGAAGAATCAATTAATGAATACTCTCTCACACACATTATACTTCAGTAGGATTATTAAAAAAAACAACTGTTGTACGTTTTCAAGTGAAAAACTTTCGAAGCTAATAGTAACTATACTATAACTAAAATATATTATTTGTATATAATTTCACCATAACTATACTATAGCTAATATAAATTCACCGTAACTATACTATAACTAAAATATACTTGTATATAAATATTAAAAAAATAGGAAGGAAACCCGCACAATCTATCTATCTATCTATCTATCTATCTATCTATCTATCTATCTATCTATTATATTATTAAAACAGCTTTGAAAGAAGGCACCACGTTCACTGTAGGGGCTAGAAATTCCCACATTAATCGGAGAAAAAGAGAAAAAAAGAAAAGGAGAGTCCAAGTAGAAATACAATTTAAAAATAGCTGCAATTCAGAATAAAAAATAAGCAATATTGAAAGAAGTTTTCATGTAAGAACCCAATACGAGATTAATCAAAATTCAAAATAAAAATAAAATAAAATCCAAAATTAGAAAAGAAAAGGAGAGTCCAAGTAGAAATACAATTTAAAAATAGCTGAAAATCAGAATTAAAAATAAGCAATATTGAAAGAAGTTTCCATATGAGAACCCAATACGAGATTAATCAAAATTCGAAATAAAAATAAAATAAAATCCAAAATTAGAAAAGGAAAGGAGAGTCCAAGTAGAAATACAATTTAAAAATAGCTGAAATTCGGAATTAAAATAATCAATATTGAAAGAAGTTTCTATATAAGAACCCAATACGAGATTAATCAAAATTCAAAATAAAAATAAATCTACTACTACTTAGAAAATAAGAGGTGCTTCCATCGTCTGTCAAAAAAACCGGGCGAACAAAAACCGGGCGAAAAAACCAGGTCTGTCCGTAAAAAAAACCGAGCAAAAAAAAAGTGCGAAAAAAAGGAAAGAAAAACCAAAACTGTCCGATCCGAAAAAAAACCGAACGAAAAAAACCAAAGTTGTCCGATCCAAAAAAACCGAGCGAACAAAAACAAACCGGGCGAAAAAAAAAGTGCGAAAAAAAGAAAAACCAAAAAAAAGATGTCCGATTCCTATGGCAAGGCAGAAAAAAAAACACAGTAGATCCGATTCCCTTAAAAGTTGGAAAAAAATCATATTCCTATATTATCCTATTTCCCGTACGGTTGTTTGTTTTTCTTCTTTTTTTCGTTTCTTTTTCGTTTTTTCTTTTCTCTTTTTTTCTTTTTTTATTTCTTAATACTATGTATGTATATAAACTTTATATACACGTATACAAACTTTATATATTATATATTTTTTCTTTTTTATACGTATGTATATAAGCTTTGTATACTTCTCTATCTCCACTATTAAAAAATTCAAAATATTTCCTTCGTCCGTCCCTACTTAAAAAATTCACACTAAAAAAGATCTGTCCGATTCCTAAGAAAGTGGCAAAAAAAAAGGTTCATAAAAAATAAAAAAGCAAAGGAGAAAAAAAGTACAAAGGGAGAAAAAAAGCACGGCAAAAAAACGTCCGATTTCTATTCGTTTTTTAGTTCCTATATATCTCTTCTCTATATCTAATATAATCTAATCTAACTATTTAAAAAGAGAAGTTTTCATAGTACAACTTAAAAAGAAAAAATGCGCGAGAAAATAAAAACGGTTAAAAAACGTGGAGATAGAGAAAAAAAAGCAAAAAACGCGTGAGAAAAAAGTCAGAACAAAAAAGCTAAAAAAGGTTTCCGTCTTCCGTAAAAAATAAAAAAACACACGAGGAAAAAACTGTTAGAAAAAGCACGCCATTTCTAAAAAAATGGTTCGAAAAAACCTCACATAAAAATCACCGTTTATAAAAAAACAAGTTGCTCTGCAAAAACTGTTAGAGAAAAAACGTTAAATTGATAGACGCTTGAGTCGGATAGTATCAATCGATTTTTTTTCATCTTCTATGCATCTTTTGTTTCATCATCTATAGAAATTATATTAAAAAACAAACATATTTTTACTTGTTATTTAGAGAAGAGTGCACAGTGACTCTATTTTGTGTAGACTTGACCATGCGAGGCAATGTAGGATTTGATTGATCCTATTATTGGTTGCAAGAATGAGATCGAAAAAGTATTTTAGATTATATGTATGTTGTCTCGTGAATAATCCAATTATTTTAGGAAAAGCAAGCATCGGTAAGGTTGTCATCGTTGAAGTTGGGCCATTACATTAAAGATGTTCCAATTTTCACCCATTGCAACGCACGGGATTTTGCTAGTAAAATCAAAATTAGAAAAGTAAAGGAGAGTCCAAGTAGAAATACAATTTAAAAATAGCTGAAATTCGGAATTAAAAGTAACCAATACTGAAAAAAGTTTCCATATAAGAATCAAATACGAGATTAATCAAAATTAGAAATAAAAATAAAATAAAATCCAAAATTAGAAAACGAAAGGAGAGTCCAAGTAGAAATATAATTTAAAAATAGCTAAAATTCAGAATTAAAAATAAGCAATATTGAAAGAAGTTTTCATGTAAGAACCCAATACGAGATTAATCAAAATTCAAAATAAAAATAAAATAAAATCCAAAATTAGAAAAGTAAATGAGAGTTCGAGTAGGAATACAATTTAAAAATAGCTGAAATTCGGAACTAAAAATAAGGAATATTAAAAGAAGAATCCATATAAGAACTCAATACGAGATTAATTAAAATTCAGAATAAAAATAAATAAATCCGAAATTAGCAAAAGGAAATGAGAGTCCAAGTAGGAATACAATTTAAAAATAGCTGAAATTTGGAATTAAAAATAAGGAATATTAAAAGAAGAGTCCATATAAGAACCCAATACGAGATTAATTAAAATTAAGAATAAAAATAAATAAATCCGAAATTAGCAAAAGAAAATAAAAGAAGAGTTCAAGTAGGAATACAATTTAAAATTAGCTGAAATTCGAAATTAAAAATAAGCAATATTGAAAGAAGAATCTATATAAAAACCCAATACGAGATTAATTAAAACTTAGAATAAAAAAATAATATCCAAAATTAGAAAAATTAAAAGAGAGTTCAAATAGGGATACAATTTTGAAACAACTGAAATTGAAAATAAAAAATAAAAACACTAAAAGAACACAATATGGTACTAACTTATTTTTTTAAAAAAAATCTGAAATTACAAAAAGAAAATAAGATTTGAATTAGGAATACAATTTATAAATAACTAAATTTTTTTATAAAAATAAAATTTATTGAAAGAAAAGACCATCTAAAACACTGACGAGATAAATTAACATGCCTGTAAAGGAGTAGAGTGGTGGCGGTTGATACGACATATAAAAATTGTTAATAAAACATCAAATAGAATCCTAATGACGATTAAATTTTTGATAAAAATAAAATTTATTGAAAGAAAAGACCATCTAAAACACTGACGAAATAAATTAAGTAACATGCCTATAAAGGAGTAGAGGAAGAGTGGGGAAAAGTTAGGGGAGGGGGAGATTATATATTTGTTTATGATTTTTAGGATATTGAGTGTAAAATGTTGAGATTATAGACATATAATGATTTAATCTATTCCATAAATAAATCATGACATTACAGATGAAAACTAGCATGAACGCATCATTAGATCTACACATGTAAACTACACAGTATAACATGAACAGATCAAATATGCGCAACATATTGAACACGTACCGAGGTGACGGAAAGACCGGCTGCTTGGTCGAAACTTTTCGCAAGTGTCTACGAAGGCACGAAACACGCGAGCGAAGAGGAAGGCGAGCCGTCGCGAACGAACAGGGAGCAGTCGCGCGAAGCGCTTCCCAAAAACCTTATTGCCGCCTTCTCCCGGTGCAGAACGTCGAAGGCAGAGGTTCCGGAGACCTGCTCTCCCGATCGCCGGTGCACGCCGGCGAGCGGGATGGAGTAGTCTACGAGCGATGGCGCAGTACAGAGTAGGAGGCAAACCCTAGATTGATTTTTCGTATGTTGCGTGAAGACGGCAGGTCGGTTTATATAGAGAAGGGTCGCTTGATCAGGGCGCCCGCACGATTTCTACTGCGCGTAACCGAACCGGATAAGTCGCGCGTAACTTATCCGGACTCCACGCCGTTTGCACGCACCGGATCTTTCGGAACGTTTCCAAAACAAAAACGAATCCGAATTTGCAACAAAACAAAACTGCAAAAGGAGGCTGCATCTGCGCAAGGGTGAGGAGCCAATTTTTCGGACCATTCGACGCGTACGTCGTGCACGCGCGCCGCCTGCCCGGCCCGGCCCGGCCCGGCGAGGCGAGCAAGCGCGCGCGTGTGTTTCCCCTCTTCTCTCCACCACACATGCTTCAAGCGACTAGGAGGGCATCCTCTCTTTTAAGGAGGTCCCCCTCTCCTAGAATAAGCAAGGTGGTACTAAACTCCACATGCATGCCATCCCATGAGGTGGGCTTTTGTGATTTTCCAAAGAATTAATCTTCGAGTGGGCTAAGGCCCATTCATTAATTCCAACAATCCCCCACCAAATCTCAAAATCCCACTGAGATTTGCCTTTTCCAATGTACTGTTTATATACCAGCGGTTCGATGGAGACCAATTAAGGTTGAACATCCACCTAGAACTCCAAGCTACACTTACTCACAACTTGAACAATGGACTACGCCTTGAATTGCAAGTCTTGTGCAAGCAAGTTTCACTCAAAGTCTTATCTGGCACTAGACCGTCTGTAGACTACCCCTCGGGTGGAGCGTATAAGTCATACTCCTAGGTCTTTAGTAAGCTTCCTAGAAGATTCACCCAAAATCTTCATAGACTGCGACCAACAGTCAAGCTCACAAAGTTGAGTTCTTTCAAGAATGCTCTGCAGGACAACATCTTTGCTAAT